TTTAAATTCAATAATTGTTGTGTCCAAAAATACGCAAGCACATAAATACTATTTATTTGTAAAATTTATAGTTATTGTTCTGATACTCAATACTTGTTTTTAAATATATAACTTTGAATCACTCAATAAAAATTGTTTCTTTTTTTTTGCCAAATGTTCTCTTAGTTTTGTGGATAGCAGGTTTTTCGTTTTACTTAATATTATATTGAAATATTAGAGAAATAATGATTCAAGGAGAAATAGAAAATTATTTTATCCGAATTTGATTTTATATTATATGTTCATCTCCACTTTATCAATAAATTTTTATAAGAAGTTGTTATTTCCTTGTTTTGGTTTTAATGGAATTACTAACATTTAATGTATGATCGAGAAGTTGATGCGGTATCACTTACCATTTTGTCTAATGAATTATTAAACATCGCGAGTGCCGTAATTTCTTTGTCATTAATATATTATGTAATTTCATGTGAAGGGTACCTAAGTATTTCCTTTAAATTTTTCGCCTTTAGTTATACATATGCTCATCAATATACTGTATAGATGCTTTGTCAAGTTGTTATAAATCAAGAAGATTGTATTTCAAAGCAGAATATAGTATTTTACAATAGTTTGAAGTTCTTTAAACGTTTTGAATTTTTTAAATTAAAATTTATATATCTGTACATGTATGTATATATATATACATGTATGTAGCTATAAAAATATGTATAGTATTTTTAGAGACTGTTTTTGAATACTTCTCCTTTTGGGTATCCTAAAATCGTTTAATTCTTGCAGATTATCTACTCAAATTTTTACTATTTATTATTTTATTATAAAAAAAACAAAAAAAGACTAAACATAATTATTATTAATTATTTTTTAAACAAATCCTAGAAATAATATCAACAGTTGTAATTTTTATTAAATACTACTATTCATTTAGCAAATGTTCAATATTCAACATCAAACTCGTATAAAACAAATATAATAATTAAACCATTAAATTTCTTTTAAATTTTTTACGAATTAAGAATTACATTATTTGCTTATTTAACTTATTCCTAACAATTTTTTAAGTATTATTTTATTTTAGTTTAATATTTCATATCAAGACGTTTTTTATCGAAATTATAAATTATTTTTATATATCTACATCAATTAACCAGAATATATTTTTTAATTGTAATAAATAAATTTATAATTCTTGGACTTTGTAATTTATATATTAAATAAGGTTTATGATTTTTGAAAATATAGGTATAGTAAATAATAAAAAAAAATATTTAAATATTTGTATTATTTCTAAATAAGTATCAAACTATTATAAATTTACTAGAAATACCAAATATAACATTTATATATATATATATATACTAGCTGACCCAGCAAACGTTGTTTTGTTATATATATTTTTTAGAATAAAAATAACTAACTTATTGTAAGTATGTTAGGATGGTGTCTATGATTGAAAAAGGAATGGATCCTAGTAGACGATGACGGCCTATAAGAATTAATTTATTTTTATTTTATTTAATTATTTATTTTTTTACTTTACATGGAAGGCATGCGTCTTTAAACGTCAAATACTGTTGTCCACTTATTTTGTGTATATTTTAAAATGATAATGGGCCTGTGACGTTAATCAATAACAGTCGCAGATAGAAGTATTTAGTCTGCCTTGAATTAAATGTATATACTTGGCCCAAAGTGTTTGATTTAAATAAAAATTTAATAAAAATAAATTAAATAAAAATATAATACAATTTAAATAATTTATTAATAATTGCAATTAAAGGACTATAATTCAGAAAATGTAATAAAATTCAAAAATGCTAGAAATATTTCCAGACATAGGTATATACTTGCAGATATAAGTATACAGTTTAATACTCAGATAATAGCAGATTTGATTTAAATATTTGTCAATTGAAATTTACTATGTTATTTTAAAATCACAATCATTTCAATAAGTATTTATTTATAATTTAATTACAACATAAGTTTAATTTATTTCTATGCACGTTCTAATATTAATAAAGGTAATATATTTTTTATTTATTAATTTATATTATAATATAGTATGACCAAGTTTTAATGAACGAAATATCAAGCTATAGTATACTTATCATTTTTACTTGTATTATATTATGCTCTCTATATATTTTTATATTATTGAACAATAACTTTTTAAGGCATAACTATTGTTTAACCATTTCACGTATAGTAATAAAATAGATGAAGAAATTATTAAACGGCTAGAGTCTCTTTTTTAACTAATATACTTTTAATATTGTCAAAGTATAAAAAAAAAAAAATTTTTAACAAAATTTATTAACTTGATCCGACACAATACCCAGTATTTTTCAACTATAAATTTTAATTTAAGTTTAAAATCATTATTTGAATTATAAATTATTAAATTTAATAATAAAAATCATAATTTTTCAATTTTTTTTTTCTTTTGTAATTTTCTTACTTTCATTTTTTTAAAAATGCGAAAATGAAAACATTTCTACTGAAAGAGTAATTTTTATAAATGTAAAAAATAACTAACCCCACAAACATTTTACAGATATTTATAAAAAAAATAATTGAAATGAAGTTTTCTTTTTCCATCTAAATGTTATAGAATCTTAATATTTTCAAAATATAATTGAACACAATTTCATAATTTTGTTGAATACGTTATTTGTTATGCTCATAAAACAATTATTTTAATACGTACTAATACATCGTATTTGAATAATTATTTATTTGAAAATTGAGTGTGATACAGTTTTAACTTTAAATTATCTGGACCACCTTGAAATATTGATACCTATCTGGCTACCTAGTAACAATATACAATTTCAGTGCTTTATATACACAACATATATCATTATACTAATGAGACCTAATATAAATAATCTTAATGAAACAAATATATTTTCCACGTCACGTTAGTTAACCAGTAATGCATAACGAACAATATGAATGTACGTCGTTATTAAGGATATTCAAAAAAAATGTCATAGGAACTTGCTATTTGAATATTCATTTCTCATTATGTACAAGCCAGCAAACAAATACTAAACAATTAAGTATTGAAACGTCTAAGCATTATACGATGTATATTGTATATATAATACATATACATATTATATATATAATACATGATTGGGAACAAGTGAAAAGATTTTTTTTTGAAATTTAAAAACCTTTTTTGTTTTCTTTTTCATGGAACGAACCGTCAAAGAATTACACTGAGAATAGATTTTGTCAATTTACCAGGACATTTAAAAAAAATTCCAATATCTTCGTTGAATTTGTTAAAAAAATATTGAAACTTAAATTAAAACTGGGTCTATATAGTATATTAAAAACATAAGATTTTTGTTTCCTACATTTTTAAATTTAAATAATTTTTTTTTTTAAAAACTAGTTTATAGAAAAATAATGTAAAATCAACTATCTACATATACATAGAATTTTTAATGATTGAAGCCTTTATAAGGATATTTTAATGACTATTGAGTTAATCATTTAATATATATAGTAGGTAACTAATAATTTATATCTATTGGCTCTAATTTTTTCCAGAATTTCAGGAAAATAAAACTATTTTAAATGATTCTATAAAGAAATTATATTTTACCTAATCTAACCATATCGTCAATTTTTTAATTTTAAAATATCAAATGAGACATTTGGTAAAAGGAAAGATACACCTATTTTATTAATCACATTTGTTTTCAGTATTTTGTAATTAATATTAATAACTGGTCAGTGTAAAATATAATTTTAATTATTTTCACTTTTCTTTTAGACTTTTATTATACATTATTACATGTATTATCATGATGTGTGTTTCTTTTTTTTTTTGTGTCTATGTACACGATTTCGTCCAGAAGGGTTGTTAAAATTATTACAATCATGGAAGGTTTCTGATAAAAAATGGTTTAGTTGCTATTCTAATTTAGGTCATTTTTTGAATTTCACAACAGTTTTTCAAATAAATGAGGAAAACCTACAACAATTACAAAAAAATTTAACCAATTTCGAGTTTTAACACGGCACCAATTATTTAGTCGTTCATTATTCCATTAGTCTTTACAGAATTATAAAGAAAACTGTGTACAACATTTTTCATTGGGTATTCTTTGACGCTAATTAAATAATTTTTACAGAAAAGTTGCAAAAAGTTTTATTAGTGTTAAAAAATAAACTGACGAAATCGGGTATTTCAACGAATTTTGATTATACAATATAAGTTACTTGTTTTATATATTCCATAAATATTAATTATTTTATTTTATTATTTTCATATTACTTACTCATTTCCAAATTATAACAAGAATTTAGAATTTGAAACGGTATTTTTAAACCTAAATATTGATTTAAAGGTTAAAAATACCGTTTCAAATTCCAAATATTTGTTATGATTTGGAAATCAATAATTAATGTGGGTTAATAATCGTAATTTTGCTACTAAAAGAGTCATTAGACTTTGTATGCCAAGGGTCTCTATATAGTCAAAGACGGCTCTGTATGCCGTACATTTAAATTCTGTCTGGGAATAATTTTTTAATAGAAAATTTTTTTATAAACACTATATTTTATTTATCGAGGAAAACGGTATAAGCTCAATACACAAATTAATTATGTACAGTTTGAAGTCCGAATGTTGAAACGTAAACAACGAAAGAAAATATGAACAAAAATTAATATATCTAGTACCACTTACCTGTATGCAAATGTGAAAAAAATAGTTGATCATTAAACACAGAAAACTATGTATCTGAAATATAATTTACACGATCACACAAAAATAATCGATAGTAATAGTTACCGTCTCGGTGATGGATATTTGAATGGTTTTTAGTTCAAATAGTTACGCGCGCGACATCAACATTATCACATAATATATTGCTTATAATATAACCTAGAAAGTTTTTATTAACCGCTGAAATGTATTTTCGACAATATTTAAAGATAACACCGTGTAAACATTATATTGTGATAACATACGTTTTAGTTTTTCAAATCGAATACAAATTATTTCTACCTAAACTATTTATTTAATTTATTGTTTGATATACATTTAATTTAACGATGGCTTCTAGTGACAGCGAAGATGATCGCAGGGAGCGTGATAAATTTGCCGAAAGGCTGAAGAGAAAAGACAAAGATAGAACGCGTAATGTTGCTATTCCTCGTTCTGGTAATGTACTATAAATATTTTTTTTTTTAAACATTGCTATGTACTATTTCAACAATCAACAACATAATACCAACGAATTCCAAAAATATTTATATATATATTGTATCAGTTAAACAGAAGTATTCATCTTGATTTAATGATGTTGACATTCTATAAACAACAATACATTTTTATTCAATACATCTTGATATTTTTTTTCACTACAATATATTTTATATTATACATATTCATTTTTATCTAGATAAAAAAGCTTATGAAGAAGCAGCAAAAAGATTAAAATTAGAAAATGAACGTGAAAAAGAAACGGTCATACCTAGACTCCGGATCGAATCACGTCGTAAATATCTTGAAAAAAGAAAAGAAGATAAAGTTACTGAACTTGAAGCTGACATCATAGATGATGAATATTTATTTGATGCTGAAGAGTAGGTTTTAAATTTCTGTTTAATATAAAGTAGAGTTATCTTATGTTATTTTAATATTTATGCAGCTTAACACAGCGTGAACTTATTGAACGTGAACACAAAAAGAAGTTATTAGTCCTTGCAAAAGAACATGAAAAAGCTAGAGAACTTGAAAATATTCAACGCTACCATATGCCACAAGATATCAAAGTTGATCAGATGCAATATGAAATGGAGGTGGAAAAAACTTCAACTACAGAACAACAAAAATGGGAAGAAGAACAAATGTCTAGTGGTGTTTATAAATTTGGTGCCAAAAAACAACAAGAAAAAGAACAGTATGAATTATTAATCGATAATCAAATAGAATTTATCCAAACTGCTAATATACCTGGAACAGATGATGTATATTTCTTTATAATTACTTAAGATTTATAAATATTCGTTTAACTTTTTTTTAAATTTAATTATTTTAGGAAAAACCAGAAATTACCGAAAAACAACGTAAAAAACTTAACATCGAAGAAACAAAAAAAAGTTTACCAATTTATAAATTCAAAAAAGATTTAATACAAGCTATCAAAGACCATCAAGTAATAGTTTTAATTGTTTAATTAATTTCATTTAAAGCATTAAATTATATTGAATAATCTAAATCACTTTTGTTTTACTTAGATACTTATCATTGAAGGTGAGACTGGTTCTGGAAAGACTACACAAATTCCACAGTATTTATACGAAGCTGGTTTCACTGATAATGATAAAAGAATTGGATGTACACAACCAAGAAGAGTTGCTGCAATGTCTGTTGCAGCTCGAGTTGCCGAAGAAATGTCTGTTAAACTTGGAAATGAAGTAATATAATTTATATCTCAAGTATTTATAAAAATAAAATGATTAAAATCATACCATTTTTAGGTTGGTTATAGTATACGTTTTGAAGATTGCACTTCAGAGCGTACAATAATTAAATATATGACTGATGGAACATTGCATAGAGAATTTTTGTCAGAACCTGATTTACAGTCTTATAGTGTGATGATTGTTGATGAAGCTCATGAACGTACATTGCACACAGATATTCTATTTGGTTTAGTGAAAGATGTAATACGTTTCAGACCAGATTTAAAGCTGTTAATTTCTAGTGCCACTTTAGATGCACAAAAATTTTCTGAGTTCTTTGATGATGCTCCTATATTTAGAATACCTGGTAAATATTTTTTAATTTTCTATGTTCGTATTTATTTGTAATATTTTTTGTTTGTATATACTAGGAAGGCGTTTTCCTGTCGATATATACTATACAAAAGCACCAGAAGCTGATTACATTGATGCCTGTGTCGTATCTATACTACAAATACATGTAACACAGCCCCTTGGAGATATATTAGTCTTTTTAACTGGACAAGAAGAAATTGAAACTTGTAATGAACTCTTACAAGAACGTGTCCGTAGACTTGGATCTCAAATTAAAGAACTAATTATACTACCAGTTTATAGTAATTTACCAACAGATATGCAAGCTAAAATTTTTGAGCCTACGCCTCCCAATGCTAGAAAAGTAATTTAAAAAAAATTTAGTTGGTATATGAAATAAAAAAATTATTTTAAAATGTTATAGGTAGTTTTGGCCACAAATATAGCAGAAACATCTTTAACAATTGATAATATAATTTATGTTATTGATCCAGGTTTCTGTAAGCAAAATAATTTCAATTCTCGTACTGGAATGGAATCTTTAGTAGTAGTTCCAATATCAAAAGTTAGTTTTTGTTAAATATTTTAATAAATATGAAATATTTAATAAATAAATATTTATTTTTTATTTTTTTTTAATTATGTATTCTATGTCAACTATTTAGGCTAGTGCTAATCAAAGAGCTGGGCGGGCTGGTCGAGTGGCTGCTGGTAAATGTTTCCGTCTATACACAGCATGGGCTTATAAGAGTGAACTAGATGATAATACCGTTCCAGAAATACAGAGAATTAATTTGGGTAATGCCGTGTTAATGCTTAAGGCTCTTGGTATTAATGATTTAATACATTTTGATTTCTTGGATCCTCCTCCACATGAAACACTAGTCAGTAAATTAACTTATTAATAACCGAAAATAGTTGCTTAACCTACCTATTTTTATAGGTGCTAGCTTTAGAACAGCTTTATGCATTGGGTGCATTGAATCATAAAGGTGAATTGACTAAATTAGGACGTCGTATGGCTGAATTTCCATTAGACCCACTAATGGCCAAAATGCTGTTAGCTTCTGAAAAGTAAGCTAAGCTTATAAAAATTATACACATGTGTTTATATAATATAATAATAATAATAATAAAAGTTGTATTAAGTAAATTTCACATTATCTTATGTAAAATCAGTACTAATTTCTAACAGTAACAGTCACTTATAATTTTAATTTAGTTAGAGAAGTAATAAATTCCTCATTGTATAATATCATTACAGTACCTACTTAGAGTTCTGGGATTTTTTTTATGTATATTTACTAGAACCAGTAAATTCCATTTTTTAACTATAATTAAATACTTTTTTCTGCGTATAATACATATTTTTATTTTTCAGATATAAATGTTCTGAAGAGATCGCTTCCATAGCTGCAATGTTAAGTGTAAATAGTGCTATATTTTACAGACCCAAAGATAAACTTGTCTTAGCCGATACAGCTCGTAAAAATTTTTTTGTTCATGGTGGTGATCATTTAGCTTTGTTAAACATTTATAATCAATGGGCTAATACTGACTTTAGTACAAATTGGTGTTATGAAAATTATATTCAACATAGATCAATGCGTAGAGCTCGTGATGTTAGAGATCAATTGGTCGGATTAATGCAACGTGTAGAAATGGAGATTGTTTCAAATCCAACTGAAACTGTTAATATTCGAAAAGTAAAACATTAATTTTTTAAAATATCTACAAAATTGTAATATTTAATTTTTGTAGGCTATAACAGCTGGTTATTTTTATCATATTGCAAGATTATCAAAAGGACATTATCGCACTGTTAAACATAATCAAACTGTTATGATACATCCAAATAGTAGCTTATTTGAAGAACTTCCTCGATGGGTTTTATACCACGAGTTAGTGTTTACAACTAAAGAATTCATGAGACAAGTGACAGAAATTGAGAGTAAATGGCTGCTCGAAGTTGCTCCACATTATTATCAAGATAGAGAACTTGAAGATTCAACCAATAAAAAATTACCAAAGACATTAGGGAAAACAAATTCTGAACTTAAAAATTACTAATTAAGTGAGTATATTTGTACATATATTTCATACCTATTATATAGGTATTCATAAAATTTAAATTTAAGATAACACTTATGTAGTTGAACCTTAAAAACAA